GGTACGGTATCGGTACCATTTCGGTACCAAAATGATACAACTAAAAAATGAACTAATTCAATATTCAACACCAAAATAAGTGATGCCTAAGTTACAAATTCAAAGATTCAACATATTCAATATCCATCAACATTTTCAATATTCAATATCCATTAACATATTCAATATCCAAATCCTAATCAACATATTCAATATCCAAATCAACCAAATCAATATTTATCCATCAACATATTCATCAAATCCAAATGGTTAAAACTCATGCATTATGGCTTACAAACAAAAAGAGTTAAACTTATGCCTTATGACTTACAAAAATACAAACACAATCCAAACATAAATGACAAAAGCGTTTGAGAAATTGAAAGGCAAGCGAGAGACAGAGAGCGAGAGAATGAAAAAAAAAAAATTTATATTTCAATAGAGTACTATTCGGTACGGTACGGTATTGACCGGTATCAAAATCTTGATACCGCTACCATACCATACTCGATTGGTACGGTACGGTACGGTACCGAATATCTATCGGTACCAAATGAAACGGTATGAAATCGGTACGGTACGGTGCGGTTAGGATACGGTTTCGGTATTTCGGTTTAAGATGCCCACCCCTAGATACAAGTAGGGGACATCATTATTCCATGATTAAAAACTTTGCATTTGTTGATGGGTCAAATTTAAATAAGTGCCTGAACTACACGAAAATATCATATAAGGTCAAGAAACAAAAAGTTATATCATGGGCTTGAGTGACTCTGAGTCTTAAAGATTTTCTTGGTGTGCTTTTCTGCCATACACGTTTTTAGGTAAACAAAAGGTAACAAGACATAAGAAAACAACAAGGAGGGGTTGCAAAAATAAATAAATAAAAAGTTGGGTGGGTTAGCAGGTGATAGATAAAATGTAGGCGTTAACTTTAAATGATCAAAGACAGAAGATCAATGTCAATTCACACGGCATGCCCACAAGCAAACCCATTTTCTTCATGTCTTCATTGAACATCAGAGCCATATACAGGTGATTAAATTAGGAGTCTAGCACTTTCGAGGAAAAATCTCACACTTTGATGCGTCTCAAAAGAAAAGATCTTTGGCTGATTAAATTAGGCATTAACAATTGATAGTTTGTGCCGGGTGGTTTAAACAAACGTTTGGTATTAAGTAATTTTAATATATATTTGTAGAGACAATTTATGAAAAAAGACTTAGGTCGGATTACTAAAGTACAATAATGAATGTCTCTTAAATAAACTTATTTTATGAATTTATATATATATATATATATATATATGTGTGTGTGTGTGTGCGCGCGCGCATGAATGAAGTGACAAATATTCTACATATACTTTTACAAAGCTCTTATGATTTTTAAGCTAATTACATATATAGTTGGTATGAGTTTTGTCGAATTGGCTAGAGTAGATGTGCTCCCGGCTCTGCACCCAAGGCTATAAGTTATATTTAAAAACAAAAAAACAAAAAAAACATATGTCATTAAATCAGGTGACAATGACTTGCTAATAAAATAAACCTTTTTTTTCAGACACAAAATAAACTTCAATTTAAAAATGAAAACTCTAGAGAAAAAGAAGCCGATGGGGCCACTCCTTTTTATCTGCTGTCATCTATAATGAAAAGGAAGCCTCTCGTAACAGATTATTATTACTATTATTTTTTTGTGTAATAAAAGTAGGTAAACTTTCCTTCTATAAGTACTCTGAATCCAAGAGAACTGATATCTCTACTCAACCTAGACATTTTCCCTCTAGCTTTACACAATGGAGCTGGAGAGCATACTAGGATATCTTCAAAACAAGACCATCTTAGTAACTGGAGCCACTGGCTTCCTTGGAATGTGTACCATTTCATCTCTCTCTCTCTCTCTCTCTCTCTCTCTCTCTCTCTCTCATAGTAACTTAATTTACAAATGCATGCAGTATTTGTGGAGAAAATTCTAAGGGTTCAACCAGATGTGAAAAGGCTTTATCTTCTGTTAAGAGCTTCGGATACCAAGTCAGCCACAGATCGCATGCATGATCAGGTTTATATATAAATACGTATATAACAATGACCAAGTAATTTTATTTTATTCTATAATGACTTTCGTGTATATAAATTCAGATAATTGGGAAGGAGTTGTTCACGGTTCTCAAAGACAAATGGGGCACAAATTTTGATTCTTTCATAGCAGAAAAAGTTGTGGCTGTTCCAGGAGACGTAACTTTTGATGACCTCGGAGTGAAAGAGATCAAGTTGAGAGAAGAAATGTGCAATGGAATTGAAATCATACTTAATTCTGCAGGAACCACCAACTTTGATGAAAGGTAATTATTATATATGCATATAAGTATATAAACAATAACTAAATAAAAATGCAGTTAGCATTTACATGTATATACTATTTGGTTTACAGATATGATATTGCATTGAGCGTCAATGCATTTGGAGTTCAGCACGTACTGAGCTTTGCAAAGAAATGTCTCAAACTAGAGATGCTGCTCCACGTGTCAACTGGTTAGTGTTTGTTTTTCTTCTCTTGGTTCGAATTAAGAATCTTTTCAGAGGATGTAAAATTGAAAAATGCTAGGCTTACCACATTATCTTTACATGCATTCGATGTCAGGAATGGACCACACGCATATGTTGTTTTCCCATGGCCTTTTCATATTCTAAACTTTAAATGTCGAGTTTCATAATAATTTATCACTTCAAATTTTTTTTTTCCCGATCTCCATTTCCTTTTGATTTGCTTCACTGATATGTTGAATGTTTTTCAGCTTATGTATGTGGAGAAAGGGCAGGACTTATACTAGAGGACTCATCTTGCATGGATGAGCTGGAAAAGGAGATCACTAGATTTGATTTCAAAGTGCAAGAGATGAATTTAGTGGAAGAGAAACTGAATGAACTAAAAGCACAGGACGCGACAGAACAAGTTATTACCACCACAATGAAGGATATTGGCATTGAAAGGTTTTTCTGAGCATTGATCTCTGCACAAAGACAATTCTAAGCCACAAATTTTGAATAAAATCAAAAGAAAGAAAGATAATTGTGTTCATAGAAATCTGGAAATTTTATAGCAGCAAAAATGTCATTTTTGTCTCACTTATCCTTTAAATGATAGGGCTAAATTGTATGGATGGCCAAACACCTACGTATTTACAAAGGCGGTGGGAGAAATATTTCTAGGCCAATCAAAAGATCATTTTCCCATTGTCATTATACGTCCTAGCGTGATCACCAGCAGTTACAAAGAGCCATTTCCAGGTTGGGTTCAAGGTTTCAGGTATGAAGCTCGCAAACATTTCTTTGGGAAATATAACTCAACTCCAACATTCTGGTCGTGTAAAATTTAATGCCATATGCGTTGAATCTTGGTTGTTACAGAACCATTGACAGCGTAATTGCTGGTTATTGTAAAGGAAAAGTGACATGCCTACTCGTGGACCCTATGTCAGTATTTGATATGGTAAGTTTAGTTAAACTTCTTGGCACCCTAAACATCACAGCGCGACACCCGCCATATGGTATTTACTATAATTTTGAACACAATGATTTTAACTATCCTTTGTTGGGTGTGCCAAAAATGTCTATCTAGAACTAATACAGAGCAATTCAATTTTTTGAAATTATGCAGATTCCTGTTGACATGGTCGTACATTCAATGATTGTAGCAATGGTGGCTAATGCAAATAAATCTTCTAACATCATTTACCATGTGGGAAGCTCTTTGAGAAATCCTATAAATTTCCTTAATATTCACAGTTTTGTCTTCCGATACTGCACCGAAAAACCCTGGATTGGGAAGGATGGAAAGCGTGCCAAGGTTGGCAAGCTTAGATTCTTCAAGACTATGGCTACTTTTCGCATGTATATGCAAATTCGCTTCATGCTACCTTTGGAGGTTTGTAATTTCACCGTTAATAGTAATGTTATACAGTAATTACATATTATATTTATATGCATAATATTACCTTTAATTCTTGTTTGAAGGGTTTAAAGTTCGTGAACAAAGCATTTGGAGGATATTTCCAAGATCTATATGTTAACTATAATCAGAAACTCAAATTGGTGATGCGCTTGGTAGAGCTATACGAACCTTATATGCTATTCAAGGGCATGTACGTATATGCTAGCTCCAGTTTGGTTATTAATTAAACATGTGTTTTTATCACTGAAGTTAATTTGATTTAAATGCAGCTTTGATGACAACAATGCTGAGGAATTGCGAAGGATAACAAGGGAGAGGTTCGTTGATGCGGAAGCTTTCAATTTTGATGCAAGATGCATTGATTGGGAAGACTACATTATGCACACTCACATTCCTGGTCTCCAGAAATATGTTATGATGAAACGATAATCGAGAGGTGCCTGCATTGTCCTATAGAAAATAAATAAATGCAATGATCCATCAATATATTTTGTATCATTGACGGTATATTTACTACTAGAAAAGCTCCAAATAAAGCCACGGATATACCATGGCAAAGATCTTTTTAATGTACCTCTATATATTTGCAATGTACCCATTCCAAGGATATCTAATTTTATTTTGGAAGTACTTAATGTATTCAAAATAATGCATGTCCATCTTAACAATTCACACGCTATAAAATAAAAAAAGATACTGTTAAGATAGACTTCTAGAAAAATCCAGGCAGTAAAGGAAAATTTTTAAAACGGCGATTTGTAACATGTGTGCGATTAAAATATGAAACGGTTGACATGGACATCTATATAAATACAATTGCAAAAAAATATTTACGAAACTTTGTAAGTCGTGCGTAGCACGCGTGATTAAAAAAAGCCTCTCGCACACGCATAAGCGTGTGCAGAGAAGCTAGTCTAATGAGCTTTAGGAGCTAGGGGGATTCTTTGTGTTTTTTTTTTTTTTTTTTTGAATTTTCTGTTTGGTGCAATTGAATATTTTCCTCCTTTTTCCCCTTAATTTGAAATACCTTTTATTAGCTTGGGTAAAACACTTTTTCCTATTTTTAATTTTTTGTTTGAATTGTCGTTAAAAGTTCTTTTTTTCAATAATTTGGTAACATATGTTGTATTGTGTTCATTGATAACCTTTACAAAAATAAATCAATTATCATAGATGATAAATGTTTAAACCAACAAGAATGAATGAGAAAAGTTTTTTTTTTTTCCTTTTCTTATTAAGTTTTATTGTATATTGATAAAGGGGCATCATTTAATTTATCGCCTAGGGTCGGCCCTGGCTACAATTTTGTGAAAAGTGATAATTTGATGTATATTGCTTGTGTATTCAGTCATAACCATTACAAAGATATATAGCTGTTAAGGAAAATATCTCCATTAATTAGTCAATATTGTAAATTGATGTTGTACTTATTTGCTTCCTTATTTAGTCTCTGATCAAGCCTTGGTTATAGGTGATAGTTTAGGATACTATTGACTAAATCATTGTATAAAGCTGTAAACCTAGTTGTGGAATGATATATCAAAAATTATAATCCCATTCTATGCTTCTCATCACGGTATCAGAGCAATAGATATCTGGGAAAATAAAAAGCAAACACACAAACACCAAAACAACGTAGCAAAACATAGCCATGGTTGATAGTGCAGACATGAAGTCAACCTCCTCAAGCATGACTTCGCGTTCAAAGTGGGAGAGCCCTAATCATCCACTCTATCTCCATTATTCGGACCAGCCTGGTGCAGTACTTGTGCCACAGCCATTGGTGGAAGACAATTATAGTACATGGGTTCAATCCATGACCATGGCCTTAACGGTCAAAAACAAATTAGGGCTTGTTGATGGGACGGTCAAGAAGCCAAATGAACATGAACATGAAGAATTGCAGCAATGGAATCGATGCAATAACTTGGTTAAGACGTGGCTCTTAGGATTCATGTCAAAAGAAATTGCAGGTAGTGTCATCAACTGCAAGGATGCAAGGCAGATGTGGCTTGATTTGCAAGAAAGGTTTTCTCATGTAAATATCGTTCAATTGTTTCACATGGAAAATGAGATTCATGACTGTGTGCAAGGTAACATGATGGTGAGTTCATATTTCACCAAATTAAAAGGCCTATGGGACGAAAGTGATGTGTAGTGCTCTATCCCTACATGTAGTTGTGATACAAAGAAGGAAATCACTTCTTATGTTGAAACCCAGAAAACAATGAAATTTCTCATGGGTTTAAATGACTCATATTCCATTGTTCGTAGTAATACCCTTCTTCTTGAGCCTTTACCCACAATGAATAAGGCCTACTCTCTTGTTCTTTGCCATGAGAGACAGGCAGAAATCTCAAGTGGAAAGCATACTTCCCTTTCTAAAGCAGCAGCTTTTGCTGTGAAGAATGGTGGCCGAGAAACTGAACCAGAGGATGGTGGTCTTCGATGTGGAAAATGTAACGAGACAAATCACAGCACCAAAAACTGCCGTGCTCATCTCAAGTGCACCTTTTGTGGGTGGAAAGGTCATTCCTTAGAATATTGCTGCAAACCCAAAGCGGCTGCTGAAGCTGAACAAAGCCGCTCATCCACTTCCAAGGGTAACCAAGTTGCCGTGCACAACAAAAAGGATGGGATGCCAAACTTTCCTTTTTTTCCAAGAAGATTGCAAGTAGATGCTCGCAATGTTGAGCAAAAACATATCCTCCTTTGCAAATCAAGTTGGTAATTCTTTGAATAATGAAGAACTTTCAGGTAAAGCTTTTTCCTTCATGTCTAATGGCATAAAAAATGTTTGGATCTTGGATAGCGGTGCAATGGACCACATTGTTTGCAGCCCTCATTGTCTCACGTCGTCAAGGTCTGTTACAAACCATACCATAGAACTACCCACTAGTTCCCTTGCCACGGTCACCCACATTGGACAATTTGTCTTCTCTCCCAACCTTGTGCTTGATATGTGTGTACTATTTTTCAAATTAAATTTGATATCCATTAGCAAGCTCGCATATGATTCCTTCTATATTAATATCTTCCTAAAAAAAGTTTGTGTCATACAAGACCTACACTCGGGGAAGATGATTGGGACGGGAATTGAACGGGAAGGACTATACTATCTCGATCCACCAAAGAAAGGAACATGCAATGCCATTCAAACACCCAACCATCACCTTTGGCATCAACGCCTAGGACATCCATCACAAATTGTTTCCATGTTATTTCCTTGTTTTCAACATAAATCTTGTGATTCTAATAAGTGTGTCATCTACCCATTAGCCAAACAAACAAGAGCACCATTTTCATTGAGTTCTATATCCACTAAATCATGTTTTGAATTGATACATGTTGATATCTTGGGGGGAGGGGGGTTGTGGGTATCATGTTCCTTCTGTTTCTGGTGCAAAATACTTTCTTACTATTGTTGATGATTACAGTAGGAGCACATGGATTTATTTGATGAAACACAAATCTGACACACAACAACTCCTTGTCCAATTTATCCATTTGGTCGAAACTCAATTCGACACCAAAGTCAAAATGATTCGAAGCGATAATGGTCCCGAATTTAAACTTAATAGTTTTTATGCCACACAAGGTATCATCCATCAAACTAGCTGCGTTCACACACCACAACAAAATGGCGTTGCTGAACGTAAGCATCGCCATTTACTCAATGTTGCCCGAGCCCTACTCTTTCAAGCCAACATGCCAAAACGTTTTTGGGAGGACGTCATCCTTGCTTCAACCTATCTTATTAATCGCACACCCACACCTCTTCTTCAAGGGAAAATACCTTATGAAAAATTGTTCCACAAAGCACCCAATTACTCACCTTTACGAGTCTTTGGTTGTTTGTGTTTTGCTTCCACTCACACACACAAAGCTTCCAAATTTGATCCCCGTGCCCTTCGTGTTTTTCTTGGCTACCCATATGGTACAAAGGGCTATAGCTTATTTGACCTCCAACTCAACAAAGTGTTTGTCTCATGGGACGTGATTTTTTTTTTTAGACCAATTTAATTATCACTACGACACTTCCGCTGCTCACAACCAATCCTCCAATCCAACCACCTCCCTGTCATACTTTGATCTGGACTCTTTTCCTCCCACATCTCCTATGTCACACGACCCCCTCGCACCCTCCTCTCCACTTTCCCCCATCGACTCTCCACTTTCACCTTCCCCCCCCTTCAGCCCTTTCATCCATCCCTGTGTCTTCTTCCTCTCCAGACACTACACCCCTAAATCTATCAACAGTTTCGCCAACAGTCCAGCCCACCCCACCCCGC